AGTTAAATAACCAACAAGCTAAATGTTCTTGTATCAACTAGATTAACAGCTATTTTTATACCTTTATCTCAAAGATAAAGTAAAAGCATTGAAGTATTCGGGATCAAGAATGAGTCATTTTGCACATAGAACTTACCGGCATTCTCCAGGACCGCATTTCTGGATATCTTCTAGAAACTGATCGTATTCGCTATTCCGATCACCAACAGTTTCCACATCAATTTGTTTTTCATCACGAATATAGAAAATTACATAGCGATGTTTTTTATCCTTCTTTATTTCCTCGTATGTTGTTTTGCATACATCCGATACAGTTACTCCAGAAGCCTGTCAATAATAAGAATTATAGAAGTCTACAATGAGAGAGTGCTAAAGAGAAGTTTGTACACTTGAAAAGTTGTAGGGTTGTTAGAAGCTATCATATTGTTGAGCTATCTTCTTTTTATTTATAAAACTACATAAAAATATAACATTTACATATTCTATATGCCCATATATTAATAGTGAAATAAAAAATTCAATGAGCTACCGGAAATTGTGCAATTGCAGTCTGATTCATAAATGCCAAATGACAACAATTCACGTAAATTATTATATGGCTCATAAAATGAAGATGTTATCGACCTTGCTTTACAATTTTTCTTGACCTTGTATGGGCATAGAAAGCTTTTTAATACGTTCATTACACTGATTCATTTGCAAGAAAAACAAACAAGCTAACATAAATAGACGAAATTAATCACAAATGATAGCTTATTACTTCTTTTGATAAGATTTATATACATATATGTATTTATTTATATGTATGTATATAGGCACTTGCATGCTTTACATATTAACAGTTGTTCCCGCTCTAAAAGTGGTAGACTAGACGATACCCTTAACACAGATTCGAGTAGTAAATTTGTATTTTCTCTATACAAACATCCATACATCCATATATACAACAAAAAAAAATTTGGGGAAAAAAATTCAAAGGCACACACAGCAGCTATACATATACATATGTATGTATATAATCGGCTTGCTTCCCACTGTACGCAGCTGTTGTGCTTTATCCATTATTAGCCCCACACTATGAACGATTTCTTTTTGTATGTATGCATGTGTATATATTTTGACACATGTATATACATATGTACATATATACGGAACCAACATATGCGGCAGGCGAAATATATTCTTTTATGATTTTGGAAATTTTTACATTGATTACAAATTAGAATCTGCGCATGCTATAATAGAAGCGATCAACGTGGAGCTTGCATATATTTATGTATATGTAGTTGTACATACATATATAAACAGACAGGTCTAAATGGAGACAATAGTCAACGCACACCAACAATTTTAAATACTTTATATGGGGTCGAAAAAGCTTTCTTCCGTCTGATACAGGGTATAAAAATGCACATGTATTGAGAAAAATTTGATATATGCTCTCAGTTAGCTAATTTGCCGGTAATTAACCAGGAAATGACTAAACCTAATTGATTTTAAAGTCTGCGTACATTAATAAATATACATTAACAAATTGAAAAGGAAAAAATTTGCTGTAAGCACATGCAGTATCTGTTCAAAAAAATGTTTCCAAGCCGGCATATTCATAAAAAAAAACCCATACATACATACATGTATAAAAATACCGAAAATAATTTGTATATGTATACGTTCATTTCTGTTATAAATATGAAAATATAAGTATTGGTAGACAAATATATATTCACATATAAAATTGTCAAATATATACACATAAATATACATATTTTTTATACATATACCTATATATATATTTTTCAATATCTATATATACACAATTTTTTTTTATATACATACGTATATAATCACAAATTGTGAAGTTTCGAATTAATATTCCATATATTACTCAGCCTACTCTGACTAATGTCTACCTACGTATATATATGTATGTATATATACATGTGTATGTATATCAATGTATCCATTAATATACATATGTATATGTACATACATACAGTCTTTTGCAAGTATACATATTTGGTACGAATATATATATCGATACATATGAATGTATTTTAGTAAGTATATTTTTAAATGATAATTGGGTGCTTATGCTTAATAATGCAAACTTTTCTTGAATTATAAAAATTTCTACGTCATCTCAACAAAAAAAAAGAAAATATTTTTAGTGTATACCGAAATTGCGAATACACACAACCACACATATGAATCATCGTACTTTCAGAAAGATATGCACATGTGTAGATCAACGTACATACACACTTTTTAAGTTATATTAATTTTAAAATTACTTATACTTATTAACCGTAAATTCCCTTACCATTTTTCTGCTATATGCGAGTTGCTTTACCAAATTTATAAGCCAATTGCAATTTGTATATGTTTCAGTTTAAACAGAAATGCTTTTTAGCCTTCCGACCGCAAAGAAAAACCGGACTAATCAATTTGGGTGGTGGTTCCAATGCATCGATTTACGCATGAGTTGCGAGTCAAACAAAAGTTGGGTGGGACTTCTGCCGCTAGTTGAAATAATGGAAATGGAACAATAAATGCAACTATCGAAATATTACCGGCATAGAAACTATCGAACAGA